GAAGGAAGGAAGGAAGGAAGGAAGGAAAGGAAGAAAGAAAGAAAAAGGCTGAGAAACGCTGTTCTAGAACAGGATTGTTCAATGGAAATATAATGTCGGCCACGACATATGAAAATGGAAAATTTCTAGTAGCCACATTAAAAAGGTAAAAAAGAACACCCTAAACTAATATACCATTGCATGTTAACTGAACTGGCATTAAAATTAAAAAAATTTAAAAAGTAAAAACAAAACTAACAAAAGTAAAACCAAAGAGATTAAATCTAATAATATAGTTTAACCCAAAATATTCCAAATGTTACCATTTCACCATGTAATTATATAAAAATGGTTAATGAGCTGTTTTACCTTCCCCCACCCCCATGCCAATTCTTTGAAACCCAGAGTCTATTCTATACTTAGGGCACATCTTAAGTTAGACTGGCCACATTTCACGTGGTCAATAGCCACACAGAGCTAGTAGCTATCTGTTGGACAGCACAGTTCTAGAACCTCCTTAGAGTCCTTGATTGGTTCTTCTGCCTGAGTGACTGAGGAGCAAGGTGGGACTAAGGGAGACTGCACAGGTAGTTCTGGCCAGGCCTGGTAGTGTCCTTCCACTCACATTCCATTGGCTAGAGCCAGCCAATGGCCCCAACTTAACTGCAAGGGATGCTGGGAAATAGTGTTCTGTCTCTGAGAAGAGAAACTGCATTGGTGAGGATCAAGACAATCTCTGCTGCAGTACGTGCTCTGGCCTCCAAATATCCGTGTTTACTTCTTCTCCACATGTGGAACACATTTAGTCTCTCCCCAAAGGAGTCAACCCAATGTGTATCACTATAGCCAGCTCGAGGCCCTGGATGTCTGGGTGAAGTGTTGACTCCCCCCCCCCCCCCCAGGTCAGGGCATGAGTCCACATGGTGCAGAGCTCATGAACTGAAAAGAAGAGCTATTCTCCCACCCCCAAACTCAGAATATATGATGCGGGGACAGAGCAGGAGAATAGTAATCAATATTACCTTCCAGAAAGGGGAAAAGTAGGAGATACACTGCGGTGCATGGTTCAGGGCAATTCTGAAATCCCTTATGGGTGGACACCGTAAGGCTCCCACATGGAGGAAAGACAGCCCCTCAATTAGGTTCTGATTCTGTTCTCTGGGAGGAACTCTGGTCTGCTCCACTCTTTGGGAGGCTTCCCCTGGTGATTCGTCTCCTACCCATCTCTCCTTGGGGGGGGGGGGGTTCCTCTAGCCAAAACCTGTCTCTTGCCTAGGAAAGATTGGGAGTCAAAGGGTTTTGTTTTGTTTTGTTTTGTTTTGTTTTGTTTTGTTTTGTTTTGTTTTGAAGTAGGCTTCACTCCTGCCCAGTGTGGAGCCCTATGCAGGGCTTGAACTCACAACCCTGAGATCAAGACCGGGGCTGAGATCAAAAGCAGCACACTTAACCAACTGAGCCACCCAGGCGCCCCTCCAAGGGCATTTTGGGTTTTGTGTTTTGCCTTTTGTTTTGCTTTAAGTGAACCTTTTATTAAAATATCACATTGTTGAGGCACCCGGGTGGGTTCAGTAGGTTAAGCGTCTGGCTCTTGATTTCGGCTCAGGTCGTGATCCCAGGGTGGGGGGATCCAGCCCCATATGGGGAGGGGGGTCTGTGCTCATAGCCTGGAGACTGCTTGGGATTCTCTCTCTCCCTCTCTCTTTGCCCCTCCCTCTCTCTCTCTAAAAATACATAAATGAACTTTAAAAATAAAATAACGTATGACATTCTTATTGACTGAATTGTGTCTCCCCCAAATCCATAATGTTGAAGCCTTAATCTCCAAATGACTATATTTGGAGATAGAGCCTTTAAAGAAGTAACTCAGGTGCAGTGAGGTCAAAGGGTGGGGCCCTAAACCAATAGGACTAATGACCTTATAAGAAGAGGAAGAGACACCAGAGTGAGCACACACAGAAGATAAGCTTCGTGAGGACAGCTAGAAGTGGTCGTCTGCAAGCCAAGGAAAGAGGTCTCCCCAGAAACTAACCCTCCTGCACCTTGATCTTGGACTTCCAGCCTCCAGGGCTGTGAAACGGTGCATTTCTGTTTAAGCCCTCCAATCTGTGGCACTTAGTCATGGCAGCCTGAGCAGGTTAATACAAACATCCCCCTTAAAAGAGAGCACAATTCTTTAAGGGCAACAGTGCCTTGACGTTTCCATAAAGTGAATATCACATTTGACCTTTGCATCCCCTTTCAGAGGCCAGACACACACCTTCCTGTTAATGCTACGGGTCATTTTCAAAGTATTGCCAAGGGTATCATGGGCTATTTGAGTTTAAAACTCAGCTCCAGCATGGGGCGCCTGGGTGGCTCAACCAGTTAAGCGTCTGACTTTGGCTCAGGTCATGATCTTGCAGTTCGTGGGTTTGAGCCCCGCATCGGGCTCTGCGCTGACAGCTTGGACCCTGTCTCAGATTCTGTGTCTCCCTCTCTCCTTTCCCACTTGCGCTCTCTCTCTCTCGTTCTCTCTCTCAAAAATAAATAAACATTTGGGGCGCCTGGGTGGCACAGTCGGTTAAGCGTCCGACTTCAGCCAGGTCACGATCTCGCGGTCCGTGAGTTCGAGTCCCGCGTCGGGCTCTGGGCTGATGGCTCGGAGCCTGGAGCCTGTTTCCGATTCTGTGTCTCCCTCTCTCTCTGCCCCTCCCCCGTTCATGCTCTGTCTCTCTCTGTCCCAAAAATAAATAAATGTTGAAAATAAATAAATAAACACTTAAAAAAATAATTAAATAAATAATAAGTGTTTAAAAAAAAAAACTCAGCTCCTACAAATACCTCATAACCACCAACTATTTAGCAGACCCGACGTCACTTGATCAGTGCTACTTAGTACAAAAGAATTATGTGATGACGAAAAGAGTCAGTGGTCTACGGAATCAGGTTTGCGGATGCTTCCCTCAATGGCTATGCGTTTGAAGCATCCTGGATGCTGTGGGGAGAACAGAAGAAACATGGAAAACACTGTTTTAGCCATCACAAGGTGGGTTGATCAGTATGTTTTGCTATGATCTAGGATATTCTGTCTCTTCTTAAACAAAGGCTTAAATGCATTTGCTGTTCACTTATTCATTCACTCATTCCATCCTTCACTCATTCATTTGAGAAGTATGTACTGAATATCCGTTTATTTCAGGTACGGTGCTAGGCCGGGGGGGTGGGTGGTGGTTATTATGATGATTAGTAGATGTTCCTGGCTGATAGAAGCCCACGGTCCACGAGAGGATGCAGGTCAATAAGGAGCTACAACAGAAGTATATACAGAAAGTTCTATGAGACCACAACAGAGGCAAGCAGTTTGCTCTGGTTGAGGGAGTCTGATGTCGAAGAGGCTTTTCTGGGGTGACAGCGAGGCAGGAGGGGTGCTCCCGGCAAGGGCAGCCCATGAACAAAGGCACAGAAGCAGAACAGTGTGCAGGGCGCAGTGAATCTTGGACAGCCCTCCCCGCAGGCCCATTGAGACCAGTCTCAACAGCTCCGCTAAGCTGCAGAGACGACAAACAGGCGGGTTGCCCGTTTAGCGACACTGGGTTTTAAGATCAAGAGATCAAAACATGTTACGTGACTAAACTTTTTGAATTCTAGAACTTTGGGTGCAAATTCAATACTGCTTTTTTGGTGCCGAGTAAACTCAGTGTTCCAGAGTTAGGTGACCAAGATTTGAGACAATTCCAGAAAGTCTCATTAGCCTGGGCCGGAAGCTGAGCCAATCAAACCCCAGCGCTGGGCCCCAGTTCCTGGAAAAGACAAGGGAACGATAATATTTTCTCAAGTGCAGCAGGCTTCTCTTCCTGTTCTGCCTTCTCTGTCTTGCTCACTAACCAGAAAAGAATAAACCAGAGGATTTAGGGAAGAGGAAAGGACAGTCCAGAAACCTTGATTTTTTTTTTTTTTTGTAGAACAATGAACAGAATTAGTAACTCACAATTTCACCAAACTTC